ATGGAGTTCAGATATTCTGAGAAAGGTATCATTTTGCATCAACTCAAGTATGAATTATAACTTCTGAAGAGGTTTGAACTGAAGAATTGTAAGACTGCTGTCACACCTTCAGATACAAATCAGAAACTGGATTCTGACTCTGATGGAGAAGATGTGGATGCTACAACCTTCAAACAGTTGGTTGGTTCTCTGAGGTATCTGTGCAATACCAGACCTGATATTTGCTATTCTGTTGGGATGGTTAGTAGGTTCATGAGTAAACATAAGTGGTCCCATTATCAAGCTGCTGTCAGGATTCTGAGGTATATCAAGGGAACTCTGAAGTATGGAGTGTTATTTCCCTCTGGAAGAAAGGATGAATCAGAACTTCTGAGTTATTCAGACTCTGATTGGTGTGGAGACAGAGTTGACAGAAAAAGTACCTCTGGGTACTTGTTCAAATTTCTGGGAGGTCCTATTTCTTGGTGTTCCAAGAAGCAACCTGTTGTGGCGTTATCAACCTGTGAAGCTGAATACATTGCAGGTGCTGTTACTGCATGCCAAGCTGTGTGGATTCTGAATCTGTTGCAGGATCTGAAGATTAAAGTAAGCAAACCTCTGAAGTTGATGATTGACAACAAGTCTGCAATCAACCTTGCCAGAAACCCAGTGCTGCATGGGAGAAGCAAGCATATTGAGACCAAGTATCATTTTCTGAGACATCAAGTTCAGAGTGGAGTGTTAGAAGTTGTACACTGCAGCACTCAGAAGCAATTGGCAGATGTTCTGACGAAAGCTATCAAGACTGATCAATTTCTCAGATTAAGGGATGGAATTGGTGTTACAAGTTTTGATGGAATATGAATTAAGGGATGATATTAGTAATAATTCATATTTTATTATATTACTTTCTTAAGCCCATAAGTTTGTTAGAGGGTATTTTAGTATTTATCTTATTCTAGTAACCCTAGTTTTAGCTTATAAATAGGGTGACAATCATTGTAACCAAATATCATGTTTTGTAGCCGTCATTCTTAATAGAATATTTTCCTTTGTTCATCATTTATTCACCTTTGCACCAACAGTTTTGTGTTTTTCTTTCCTTGTCTTTGATAATGGATTATTATGACTTTATTATATTTTAAATTATTTTCTTCATGATTTGTTTGAATCCCTTTGTCATATGATTCTAAGAGATTTCTTACTTGAATCCCTTTGTTATATGATTCTAAGAGATTTCTTAGCTTTGTAAAGACTTTGATTATAAAGTTTGCTCGTATTTTCTCGATTGTGACCATCTTTTTCTATTTATATAGATCTCACTGTGACTTTCAGTACGCTAGAAAAGTATTCTTTAATTTAATGAAGACTAACATTTCTTCTCGGATCTTGAATAATTTTGATTCACTCTCTCGGTTATAATCAATACTTTTCATGATTCTACAAATAAAAATATTCTTGATTTGTATGAATTTATTTGGTTGATCTATATTCTTACAAATTTATTTTAATTTTATTTTTTATACTTGTTTCTTTGCAAAATAGTCTTTGCAAAATTCATTTATATTAATATGGTCATTGTATATAATATTAAAATTGAACTTTTAATATGCATAGCTATTAAATCAAATATGCAATATAATATATTTAGCACAATAGTAATATAGAAAGGAACATTTCAAATGTTTTGAGTGTATATTATTATTTTTCCTGTTAAATTTATATTTTTAGAGAATTAATTACAAAGACAAATCTTATAAAAAAATATGGATAAATATTAGTTTGTGTCGTAAGGACACGTGGTAAAAAACCTATTACTTTGATATATCACATTTTTAAATTTATAGCTTATATCTTATATTTTATAAATTTATCAATAATTTAAATCTTGATAATAATTTTGTATTATAAATTTATATTTTATTTTATCATCATATAATCTCTTTTCAGACACTATTTTAACTTATACCTTATAGTTTTTTTTGTTTTTTTTATTTTCATCGTTATTATTTTAACAACAATTATCTTTTATTTTTTTATAATTTATTTTAATTTAAAATAAAATAGATAAATATAAATATCCTTTATGTCATTTTACATTTATAAGTTACTTGAACCGTTAATTATACCAAACACTTCAATTAACTTATCAACTATAAGTCACAGACCATTAACTATTAATTATAAGTTATAAGCCATCAATCATCTGACATCAGTCATAAGTTATAAACTAATTTATCAATGAATCGTTATTTTTACTAAATAGAACCTATAAATAAAATGTGAATTTTTTTTTAAGAAAACCATGTATTGAGTTTTATTTACCATAATAACACATGTTTCAGAAAAATTACCAAAGTAGCTATAAAACAAACATTGAGTCGCCAATTGAATTGGCGAATGTGAAGAAAGCTGGTTTGGAAAAGTTGAAATCGCCAATTCAAATGGCGAATCAGTTGTTTTTGGAAGCCATGTGCCAAGTCAAATGGCGAATGCATGATTCTAAGGTTTTCAAAAATTCAGTTTTATTCGTTTATGTTTTTATTAGTTTTTAATAAATTTTAGTAGCTTGATCAACAATGTTTTATTATATTTTTTAAATAGTTTATTTTAAATACCATATTTTTAATTAAAATTTATTTATGTATTTATTAGTTATTAATAAATTTTAATAATTGATTAATATTATTTTATTATATTTTTTAAATATCTTATTTTTTAATTGAAATTTATTTAAATTAAGAAAAAATTAGGGTATAGAATGTAAAAATGAAATATAAAAATAATAAATTATATTAATTTAGAATCTACTAAAAAGTACAATTACAATTTAACAAAAGAAAAAAATTAATGACCGGCTCTATCTAAGTGACCACCGGTGCCACATTGTGGGGGACGTGCATTGCGACGAGGTCTACGAAGAGGTTGTTGTGGTGTGTCCGGTCTCTATGTGTTGAGTTGTGGAGGAGGGTATGGTTGGGACGACCCCGACGTATCAGATAGAGTTTGCATCATTTGACCCCAATAGCCGGGAGGTCCACTGTCAACGGTGCTTCCATAGTCAAGCTCGATGCCCATGTTTTCGAAGGATTGTCGGGGAGGGCCGTTAACAGTGGACCTCCCGGCTATTGGGGTCAAATGATGCAAACTCTATCTGATACGTCGGGGTCGTCCCAACCATACCCTCCTCCACAACTCAACACACAGAGACCAGACACACCACAACAACCTCTTCGTAGACCTCGTCGCAATGCACGTCCCCCACAATGTGGCACCGGTGGTCACTTAGATAGAGCCGGTCATTAGTTTTTTTCTTTTGTTAAATTGTAATTGTACTTTTCAGTAGATTCTAAATTAATATAATTTATTATTTCTATATTTTATTTTTACATTCTATACCCTAATTTTTTTTTAATTTAAATAAATTTCAATTAAAAAATAAGATATTTAAAATAAACTATTTAAAAAATATAATAAAATAATATTAATCAATTATTAAAATTTATTAATAACTAATAAAAACATAAATAAATTTTAATTAAAAATATGGTATTTAAAATAAACTATTTAAAAAATATAATAAAACATTATTAATCAAGCTACTAAAATTTATTAAAAACTAATAAAAACATAAACGAATAAAACTGAATTTTTGAAAACCCTAGAATCATGCCTTCGCCATTTGACGCATGACTTCCAAAATCAACTGATTCACCATTTGAATTGGCGATTTCAACTTTTTCAAACCAACTTTCTTCACATTCGCCAATTCAATTGACGACCCAATGTTTGTTTTATAGCTACTTTGGTAATTTTTCTGAAACATGCGTTATTATGGTAAATAAAACTTAATACATGATTTTCTTAAAAAAAAATTCATAAAAAGTTTGTCCTAAAAAACAATAAATAAAAAATTAATTATAAATTTTTAATAAAATTAATACGGCATAAAATTTCTATTTTTTTTATATATTTAACTCTTAATTTGTTTTCCTTAACTAGAGCACATGTAAATCAATATATCTGTTCCTACATGTAAATCAATAACACTCTTACTATAAATTGTCTTAATTTACAAATAAAAGAAGTTTTAAATAAGAGGAGAAAGGGTGATTTTTAGGTTAGCAAAACCTACACGAGAAAACAAAAATTGTAATTAAAGAGAAAATGAAGTGAAGGTGACAAAAATTGATAGAAGAACCACCTTAAGAGAGGAAGATGAAAAAAAAACTCAAACCTTTTATTGAAAATCACGGGTCACTTATAAATTTTTAAAAAAAATGGAGTGTAAATAAAATAAACAATTAAATGAAGCCCAATTCTGAGTATCTTCCTTCCTTTCATTCATTGTCTCCGACACCGACACTTTGCCAGACTACCATCTTTAACACACAACATTCACGTTTCGGCTCGGCTCCTTTACCATTCTTTTTATCATAAACTTTACTTTTCCTCTTTTTCCTTAAAAAAAACCTTAGATAAATAAATTAACATCCCACCTTCTCTATTTTTTCTATGCAACATTCGTAATCATCATAACTTAATCATTCCAACTAAAATTACTACAAGTACTTCCTCCAATTTATTTCATTTTCTTTTCTGGTCACCTGTCCTTTTTTAGTTACTTATTTAATTTTTAAATAAAAAGAAATACAAAAATAGTAGTAACGTGGCTTGGCTTGGCTTGGAAACAAAGACTGTGATGTATAAATGATAGCATAACAGCACATCAGTTCCCGTGTGGCCCCCATTTTACAGGCTGTCAAATAATACTAGTCCTTATTTTTCTTTCCTTTCACTATCGTTTCTTTCTTCTCTAACCATCAAGCAAAGCAAACTCTCACAATCGCATTAAAATTGCACACAGCAAGACTGAGAAGAAGACTCAACAACCATACCCCACAACACACGCTACTTCACTTTACCTTCTCTTCCCACCTTCTCACACTCTCATTCCATTTTATTATCACCAAAACTACACAAACATTATTGTTTCTCCTTCTATCAATTTTCAGAGCACCATGGATTCAAAATCCATCTATGGTGTCTCCGTCACCGTCTTCCTCCTTTTCATTCTCCCTATCCATTCTGCATTACCTCATAACTCCTCCGCCGTTCAGATCAACTCCAACTCCATCCTCGTTGCGCTTCTTGATTCCCATTACACCGAACTTTCTGAACTCGTGGAGAAAGCTCTTCTTCTTCAGAAACTTGAAGAAGCTGTTGGGAAACACAATATCACTATCTTTGCTCCTAGAAATCAAGCTCTGGAACGTGACCTAGATCCTGAATTCAAACGCTTTCTTCTCGAACCGCGGAATTTGAGGTCGCTTCAAACGCTTTTGATGTCTCACATTCTTCCTTCCAGAATCGCTTCACACCACTGGCCGAATACTGATCTCCACCACCATACACTCTCCCACCACCGTCTTCAGTTAACCACAAATCCTTCCGGTAAGAAAACTGTTGACTCCGCTGAGATTCTCAAACCCGACGACGTTATCCGCCCCGACGGCGTTATCCACGGAATCGAACGTCTCATTATCCCTCGCTCCGTACAAGAAGATTTCAACCGGAGGAGAAATCTCGCTGATATATCAGCGATTCTCCCGGAAGGAGCACCGGTGGTAGATCCACGAACTCACCGATTGAAAAAACCGGTCTCCGTTCCAGCCGGTGCTCCACCAGTGCTACCAATCTACGACGCATTGGCACCGGGACCATCTCTAGCTCCGGCTCCGGCACCAGGACCGGGAGGACCACGTCATCACTTCAACGGAGAACGTCAAGTGAAGGATTTCATCCACACACTTTTGCATTACGGAGGTTACAACGAAATGGCGGATATTCTTGTTAACCTAACGTCGCTTGCAACGGAAATGGGCCGTTTAGTTTCTGAAGGCTATGTTCTCACCGTTTTGGCACCAAACGACGAAGCAATGGCGAAATTAACCACCGATCAATTGAGTGAACCAGGTGCACCGGAACAAATCATATACTACCATATAATTCCCGAGTATCAAACGGAGGAGAGTATGTATAACGCCGTTAGAAGATTCGGTAAAGTTAGTTACGATACACTCCGTTTGCCACATAAGGTTGTTGCTCAAGAATCTGACGGTTCCGTTAAATTCGGTCACGGCGATACTTCCGCTTATCTCTTTGATCCTGATATTTTCACCGACGGGAGAATCTCCGTTCAGGGAATTGACGGTGTTCTTTTACCTCCCGAGGAAGAAAAGGAAGATGAATCCCCAGTTCACCGTGCAAAAACTCCACTTGTTAAAGTTGTTACTAAACCAAAGAGAGGTACAATTAAATTTTCTAATTACTTTTTTTAATTTCTTTAATCATTAATTGTTACTGTTAATTTATAATTGATAAGTTTTTTACACTTTATTATAGGGATAGATGAGTTTAATCATGAGTTATTTTACTTTAATTCACCTTTTACAAAGTTATTTTTGTTATTAGAGATAGAGATTACTACTGAGGAAAGAAAAGGTGTTATTTTTTTTTCTCTGAAGAGTTTTATTTATTTTACTCAAAATAATATTTGTTCTTATATTCTTTGCCTCAAGTATCAACTAGTTCATGTGATTAATTAATTAATAAAAATTAAATAAATTACATAAAAAAAATTCAGTGTGCTGTGTGCCAAGCTGTGAACCACATTCTTAATTTCCACCCACCTAAACCTCGGTGCTGAAACCGTTTGTCTGGATCTGATACAAACCATTTATTTATTTATTTTATTTTTCATATAATTTCTTTACACTTTAGGTTATTAGTCAACTATAGCATATTACTAGTACTTTTTATTTTTACAATTTAATAATTAGTTGATACGCAATTAGGAGAGATATAATAATTATATTTTTCATTTTTCAAGTTTCAACTACCCTCCATTATATAATATGTTTTTTTCTTCTTGTATACATGTGAAATAAATATACGATGTTTTTATTTATTTGCCATGGTATTAGTTGACTAAACATTTTTATTTACCTAAATGCATGTGGCAGGGAAGTTGCTGGAACTCGCTTGTAGCATGGTTGGAACTCTTGGAAGAGTCTGCTCATGAAGAAATCGCTTTCTCAACTAATCGCTTAAAAATAGAAAAAAAATTATAATAAAAAAAGAGTGAATTTATGTAAACTTGATGAATGGTAAGTTTAACAAGTACAAATACTATCCTTGATTGATTCCATTTGTTTAGATAATAATAATTTTTTTTTCACATGGATTATGCAGTTGTAGAGTAATCATTTTCAATACAAAAGTGGAGCGATTGAGTTGCAAGATTTCGGTGGGAACTCACACAGAAGATAACAAATTTTCTGTCATTTTGTTTCATACTGTAATTACATACTGTATCATTTTTTTATTAAATTTTTATTTTATGTTGATTCACTGTCTCTGTATGCATAAATAACTTTCCAATACGACACTCTCCTATTTCGGTTGCATTACTTTTTTTCCCTGTCTGTATGTGAATCAAAAAAATAATTAATATGTCTTCAAGTTCCAGCTCGTTTTTGTCGGCAAATCTATTTTTAAAACCAACTATGAAATGGACCTTTGAACTGAAGAATTTAATAAAACACCGTAATCTTGAGCTTTATTATAAGATGTTTCTTGTTAAGCAATACTTCTTGCTAATTCTACTATATGACATGTGTTTGTTCTTTAAAATGGAATATTAGCAGAGAATATAATTATCGTTTTTTTATATAAAAATGAATGAAAAAGACCACTAAGCAGAAAATGTTGAAAATAGCAATGGAAATGGACATCTCAGCCGAAGGTTTAATAAAAACTAAAAGTGGACTTAAGTTTTGTTTTGCTTAACTTGTTCTTTTTTCTATCTTTGTAAACCTGTTGTTGAGATGTTATTTCATGGAAAGCTAAATTAATGGTGGTAGATGTATTGTGGAAAGAAGAAGAGGAAGTGGTTGGGGGGTTTAATAATTTGTGGAACAAGACAGAGTAGCTAAATTGTATTGCATAGAGAGGGGCCTCTAGAAGTGTCGGTCATTATTAATAATACATCAACAAAAGCCTACTTGTGTAATGTAATATCACGTTTGTGCTTTTGTGGGAAACACATTGCTATCAAAGCTGGCTTGGCCCCAATAGTTGGATTATTCCTTGATTACCTAACAAATCATTCCCACTCACCTCTATATTCTTTCTTTATATAATTTTCTCAAAGGAAGGAAAATTCCTTGAACTCAGCAAGGAAGAAATGCAACTGCCAATCCTACATCATACAAAAAAAACATTTACTAACAATTCAATTATTATAATAAACCAAAATATTATTAAATATTATTATTTGTTAAAAATATTTATCATAATAGTATGATCAATTAGTGTAGATGTATAATTTATGAAAGTTAAAATAGTAATACCAATTAATATTTATCTTTTTTAGTAGTATAAATATTCTCTTTGGTTAATGTAAATGACACCAATTTTTTTGAAAGACACAAATGATACATGTTTCTTTCTTCAATCTTTTCTATTAGTATGATATTACATAAATAGATTAGTAACATATGTCATCATCTTAGTTCTTAAATATTAAGAAAGAAATATTCAAAATCGTTTGTTTCTCAACATGTATCAAGTCAATCGTTTTTTTTGAAAGTCATTATTATACAAAGTATATCTTCTATATTTATCACTTTATTATTATTATTATTATTATTATTATTATTATTATTATTATTATTATTATTATTATTATTATGATTATGATTATTATTATTATTATTATTATTATTATTATTATTATTATTATTATTATTATTATTATTATTATTATTATTATTATTATTATTATTACAGTTATAGAAAATTGTCAATTGACGATTTATAACTAGAGTGACTATTATCGTTATTATGACTTTACCCCTTGTTATAAAAAAACTGACAACTTATCAAGTGCTCTATAATAAGTATGGTTTTTAATATATAAATTTGTGTGGAGGTTTAAAACTCCATATGCAGATACTAACTTTCATATTTTGTGGAGGTCTAAAGCCTCATATGCAGATACTAACTTTTTATATTTAATGGAGGTCTAAAATCTCATATGCAAATACTAACTTTTATATTTAATAGAGATCTAAAACCGCATATGCAGTTACTAACTTTTTATATTTAATGGAGGTCTAAAACCCTATATGTATTTACTAACTTTTTATATTTAACAAAGGTCTAAAATTCCATATGCACTTACTAACTTTTTATATTTAATGGAAGTATAAAACCTCATATGCAGTCACTAACTTTTATATTTAGTGGAGGTCTAAAATTCCATATGTAAATACTAACTTTTATATTTAATATAGGACTAAGATCCCCATCTATAATATTGCTTCGCGAAAAAAAGTTCCATTTAATATAATTAAAATTACTAATGTGTTATATCATATGTGTTCATTCACAATATATGTTATCTTATAATTATTTCTAACACTTGTAACAACTAGATGATATTTAACACACTTAAAATTTGATTTGATGATAATTAACACACTTAATTTTTTTTCTTTTTCCCTTTTTCCCCAACGGTAACTATAATGGCCGTTTTACAAAATTATCTCTATATATAATTTAACTTCTTTCATAACTTTCATATCATTCTCAAAAATTTATCCATGTCTTTCAAATGGCTAAATATTTTTTCTTGTTCATCACTCTACTTATTATTTTATTCCTTATCAGTATTACCAAGCATGAACAAATAGGTAAAGATTATGTAGCATTATTGATATTTATTATTTACCATTACTAGTATTAACTTGGTTTATCAATAGAGGTTTTTGAATAAAACATGATCATGCTTTTTGTAATCGTTGATATTGAATAAATTGATTTTTTTTTTATTTATACATTAAATAATGATTATGTTCATCTCAAGTCTATATACAATCATGTCCAATGTTAAGTATCAATTCAAAATTTTAAATATAACTGGGAACAACTACATAACATGGAACAACAACTTAATTGAGTACCTTGTATGTGAAGGACTCGACAAAATCCTTAAAGGAGACAATTCAGAAAAGTCGACAGTTGACCCATAAGAGATGGCAACGAAAAAATTAAAAGTAAATCGAATAATAAAACACGACATTGATGATGGATTACAAACAAAATATTCAAAGGAAAAAGATCACAAGATTTTGTGGGACAAACTTAAGGTAAGATTTGGACATCAGAGGAACATCTTGTTGCCCTAATTGATGGATTAGTGGAACAAATTAAGTTACTAAGATTATACAGTTGTTATTGCATATAACTTTGTCACGCACCAAATTATAACACAATTAGAATTTTGTGGCATAGTTATAACCTAAGAAGAAAAGTTAAAACAAACTTTTTCAACTTTTCATACATCCCAAGTTTTGTTGCAACAACAATACAAAATGAGGGAATTTTTTGACTGATTTAATTGCAACTCTTCTAGTAGCATAATAAAATAATGAGCTCCTTATCAAAAACCATCAATCACGCCCCACAAGACCAATAACATATCCTGAGATAAATGCCACAACATTTAATTAAAGCGTGATGGCTATAATCGTATTAAGAAGTGTGGTGGTTATGCTTGTTTTTAGGGTCCTAGTCGAGGCATATATCACAGTCGAAACCACTTTCGTGGTTGAGGTCGTGGACGAGGTTATGTGAATAATTATAGATTTATCATATATGATCAAACTAATAGGAATCGTCAAGGTAGGGTGATTATATCCAAGAGGGTCCCTCGATGAATCATGATAGTTTGTGTCATAGATACAGAAAGAAAAGTCATTGGTTTAAGACGTGTAGAACCCCAAAACATTTGTGTAAAAGAAACAAGGCATTTGTAGAGGGAAATGGGAAGGAAATAAATTTTAATAAAATTAAACCCGAAAAATGATACTACACATCTTAGGTTGTTGATTACATTGAAGGAACACTAAATTAAATAACTTTTTGAATAATGCGTGATAAGTTTGTATTAATTTTATATTTGAACTATATACCAAATTAAGAATTTGTATGTCGTTTGGTGTATCCAATGTTTGCATGAAATAATAATGTTAAATATGTTGTGTTAATTTACTTTCTATTTAATCTTATTTTTATTTTAAGAAGGTTAGATATGGAACATGTTGAAAATATTTGCATTCTAGACAGTGGAACTACCCACACAATCCTCAAATGTAAGAAATTTTTACTGAAATAAATCTTACTAAAGCTGTAGTAAATCTGCAGCATGTGAGATTGTATTTATTACACCTTTAGTAGGATTTATTTCAATAAAAATTTTCTCACATTTAAGGATTGTGATGGTGGTTCTACTATCTAAAATGCAAATATCTTTGACATGTTTCATGTATAACCTTCTTGAAATAGAAATAAGATTAAATAGAGAGTAAATAAACACAACATATTTAACATTTTTATTTCATGCAAACATTGGGTACACAAAACAACAAACAAATTCTTAATTTAGTACGTAGTTCAAATATAAAATTAATACAAGCTTATCACACATTATTCAAAAAAGATACCTAATCCATTGTTCCTTCAACGAAATCAGTAACCTCAAGATATATAAATCATTTTCGGGTTCAATTTTATTAAAATTTACTTCCTTCCCCTTTCCCTCTACATATGCCTTGTTTCTTTTACACAAATGTGAAGGTGAGAAAAACACTTAGAAGGGGGGTTGAATAAGGGTTTTGAAAAGATTATAGCAATAAAAACAACACAGTATTTTTATCCTGCTTCGTTGAACTCAACTAATCCAGTCCACCCTACCAAGGTGATTTGCCTTTCTCAACAAGGACTTAATCCACTATATTCAAACAGATTACAGTGTCAACCACTAAGAACAAATGTCTTAGTCTTCTCAAGAAATCCTGACCACAACTTGGTCTTCTTAAGGAACCTTTTACAAATTAATGTAAACTAACAAGTGTTTAAATTGCTTCTAAAAAGCTATATCACAAACTGTGATTTTTACACTTAGATTAAGAACGAATAAAACTATTCAGCTTAAGAAATAAATTGTATGAGAGCTTG